CTCTCTCTCTCTCTTTCTATATATGCGGAAAAAAATATTTCTTTGGATTTATTAACATTTCCTTAATTGAAACATGTGTCCTTTGGAATAGAACTAACAAACGAATGTTTGATTCAGCAAGATTGTTTAGTAATTAATTTTCTCAAACAATAAATATCTCTACGTCAAATAACATATTTCTTTTATATCTTTTATATCTTCATCCAAACACATTACAGTGATTATCACAAGTAATAAAGCATTTGAAAGAAATAACACTGTATGTTAGGAAAATATTAGAGAACTGTATGTTAGGAAAATATTAGAGAACTTCTTTTTCTTGTTTCAGTGGAACAATATTTAGTATATAGTGAAATAAAATTTTCTTATCGATAACCAAACCAACATGGTTTACTTTAATGAGACAACGACATTTTCTTTCAAACAAAATGATATTTGATATTAAACTGTGTTATTTATATTAAACAAACCCAAATCAAACAAACACGTATATTAGATGCAAAGAAACTTTTTTCTCTATCTATCTGTCTATCTATCTATCTATCTATCTTTTATCTGTCTATCTCGCGCTCGTGGTTTAGCGGACTCGAATGCACTTAAAACGTATGCTCGCTCGCACGCACACAGGGCAGTGAACGGGATAGTTTTTCAGCGTTGCTCGGTCGCGATATTAATGAGCTCATCCTGCGAGCAACGGTCGCGTCTTTACGACGGCTTCTCCTTCGACTTTCGACATGATTTCACGAATGGCCCGGAAATTCCGTCATTATCATATTGCCTCGTTACCTCGTTATATTGCGACTCTCCTCTCTCCTAAGTGGCTACCTACAGGATTTTGCAAAGAGAGACCGAGCTCTCTCAGACCTCACAGACTCGCCTTTGAGCGCGCAGCACTGATTCGTGGATTAAAGGCCTTTGCACGATTGTATGGGAGATCCGTGAGAGGTTCGACATTTTGTCGCAATTTAGCAACTCGAGACGCGCATGATCGCGCCTTGTTGCGTTTTCGTTCGCGAAATTGACCACGGCGCCTCTCGGTTTGCGCGATGAACGGCACGAGCGAAACTCGTAAAGTCGGATCATCCCCCTGATTCAGTGTCGCTTTTTTATTTATTGATTCTCATTTATTACTCTTAGGCGCCTTAAGTAACGAGCGTTTCGAACGTTTATTTGTTATCGTTCCATAAGAGATGCGAGAGACCCGCGCGTCTCACACTGCCGATACCGCCGATACGAGAGCACAGCGGGGAGCGGATAATAACGCCTGCGGTGTGTTTTCGGTAAAAGCAGCAGTTTATGCCGAAACTGCGCCAGACCCGGGATCACAAGTGCCCGCGGGATAATCCGTCCGTGTTAGACAACGACGAGGCACGGCGAAACGTTATACGGTAGTAACGTTAGTAAGCGGTATTACGTTGCTCGGTCGAAATCGGATAACTAGTTTGAGAAAGCGCGTGCATCCCGCACAACCGTAAACGTAGGATATCACCGGCGAAAATCATCGTTTCGTACGCGCTGCCGCCGTAAGCGCACGGCATAGCCACGGTGATGTCGCGAACGACGAAGACGCGCATCGTTTGGCACTTTAAGCGCCGCTCCACAATAGGTATTTTAAGCCTTAAGAAACTGACACAGTTGATTATTCTTCCCATACTCGACCGTCATTCAATTGTGCGCCAATTTCTTAAGGCTTAAAATCCCTATTGTCGATCGACACTAATGTATCGACAGCCCTTTACGGCGCGCGCACCGCTCGCGAAACTTCGATAAATCGCGCGTTCTTCTGTGATCGACAGATCAACACGCCATGACTGGGAGCGGGAGCGACAACAGGGATTCTCACCACACTTTCATCGAGCGACCGAGATCCTCGTGCGAAATGCCTAGAGTGCCTGGGATTAAGTACGTACTCTTAAGTGTGATACAAACGAAATTGCTGATCGTCAACCCCCCTCCGCACGCGCGTATTCGCGAAATTATTCCCCATCTTAGCGAACGGTCCTTCTCGAGATATGCTCGCTGGAAGTAGCGTAGCTTCAAAGTGGTGTTTCGCGTTTCTCGTAACTTCACTCGCGCTCCGTCGTTCAGTCGCGATTTACCTCCCGTCGATCGATTCGGTATCGGCGGATTTTCGCGGCACGCGCGATGAAAGTCACGGTCGATCGGTCGCGCCGAGTTAATCGGCATCGCGAAATTCTCTGTTCCAGCATATATCCCAGCTCGCAACCACCCGGACAACAAATACCGATAGGCAACAATACGGGATCGTTGCCCGACTTGAGCAACGTGCACTTCCCGTCACCCATTCACACTCCTCTGGATCAGGAGGATCACTCGAGTAGTACGCCGTTCAGCAACGTAAGTTGTACGATCCGCAATCATCTGTGTCTCATCTATATATTTTATATACATACATACATATATATATATATATATATATATATATATCTTTAAGATTTTCTCCTTTCCTCTCTCGATCTTATTCACACGCACTTCTCGCGAGGCTGCACGCGTTCTTCCGAGCGAATTTTATCGCTTTTACGGTGACGTTTCTTCTTTTATCTTTCCGTGTAACGTACACGATATTTGGAGGAATTCGTCTGTGTGAATGGAAGTAACGCCCGAAAACGGCGATATGCCGAACATGTTTCGTGCGTTTTTACAGAATCGCACATATACAAAATATAACTAAAATAAAGGGACAAATTCCGTATCAAAACACGGAAAAAAATTTATATCACCATATATCCGCAAATCCACTGTTACTGAGATACAGGTCAATACAACGTTTATTAATGCAAAATGAAAAAAAAGGGTAATATTACTTATTACTATTTTCAATTTTTAATTACAACAAATGTTCAAAGTATTCTCCATTTAACTCAATACATGTATAGACACGTCGAATCAGAGACTCTCGTACCTTTTTAAAGATCCGTGTGCCGAGATTATTGTAAAGCCGAATGATTCATGTTCGAACTATTTGCACAAGGAAATAATCACAGATCAAATAAATAGATAGAGGGTCGACAAGCAATCGCTTGTAAATAGTAAATTTCATTATTAAAACGTTAGTTCGAGTTGTATCTCAGTAGCAGTGGGTCTGCGGATATATTATTTTATTATCATCATCTTTATTGAGTACACAACAGTAAAATAAAATATGTCACATCGGATCATATGTATCGACATGAATATTTTTTTCATGTTTTGACGCGAGGAACTCGTTCCCGAAGTTTGTCTCCTTATTTATTTACATTCTGTATATAAGATAAACATATAAAATGTATTGTGTTGGCCCATGTCGACAGACACGTTCCTCCGAGCGAGTTTTCACGTGTCGAACACGGTGAAATGTGTTTTCGGTTATTGCTCGCGAACGTACGATCGCTACTAGGTTCTATAAATAAGCAGTACGGATTACTAATTGCGATTCAACGCGGTTGATTTAATCCATCCTGTCTATACACCGTGGAGACCTCGACGCCTTATCAATTAAACTTTCGACGTGCGATACCTGTCCGCGGCTCCGAAACATTCCTTTTTTTAATCCACTATAAACTCGACGAGCGGAAACGCGACTTTGAATTATGGTGCTCAGTAGCAGATTTCCTAACGAACCAGTATCTCGTTTCGGCCATAATTAAGAGTTGCGAGTGTTTAGCATAATTTTTTCATCCTCTCTCGTGTAATATATTTATGAAACTGGAAGATAATCCCCGAGGAAAATTTACGGTATAATTAATAGCCGTATAAATAATACGAGCAGAATTTTAATGTCCACGTATTACGGTCTACACACACACACACACACACACACACATACATCTTTCTCTTTTCCGCGCAAAAAGTGGCCCTTCGACGATATCGATATTGAGCAATTTGTTTGTATTAAACAGAGTGAAATCGGTTAACTAACTTAACGTTCCGCAGCCGCCAAACGAAAGGATATCCGATTAGAGAATTTAAAAAGCAGATGTCGATATCGAAATGGTTCTCGTTCCGCGTCGCGTTTCCGCGTGGTCGTTCTCTTTTTCGACGATCGTTCACTCCTCCTGTTCGTTTTCCCCCTCGCTGCCTCTCCCTTTTTCCTCCCTTTTTTTTCCTTTTTTTTCCCGTCCTCCCCCGCTCATACGGATTTATACGGAATCGCCAAGTTATGCATCGTGCGGAAGTTTTAGACAAGTAGGATTTACTGCTGGAAGCGGGAATCTCTTTTTGAAATGATCGAACCGCTGGTGTATTCCAGAGTCCTCAAACGAGCAGTCCCACAAACCTGTCGCCGACCAGCTTGGCACAAGCTGGTAGGCTGTCCTTTTCACAGGATCCGTCAAGCGTCCAAGTAAATATCCTCGCGCCCCCATATTATTAGAAATTACTATAGATCTCACCTATTGTCATAGAGTGTAGCGGATTTTTAATTTCGAGCGACACGAAGTTGCGTTTTTCCCTTTAAGGATTTCTCCGCCTAGCTTAAGGAGCTGTCGGCGCGCGAGCACACCATCTGCGCCTTCTTCTGCTTTTTTTTCGTCCTTCTTTTTTCTTTCAGACTTTCGTTTTTGCGGACTCAGACAGTAACTCGTAGACCTCGATTAAAAACCGCTGCTGTAGGATGTTGCAGAGCGTGCGAAATATCCGAGAATAAGTCGGATCGATTTGTGCCGTATCCTTCTCGGGGATACCCGTTCCCCCGAAAATTTCTTGCCAGATATGCGTACCTCGGCTGAACTTGATATTAAATCTGTCTCGCGTGTTGTAATCGCACAATATCGATATCGCTTGGATATTTTGCATGTGTTTGATGGCGGAACCTACGGAATCGAGGAGAAATCGCGCCGCTCGCGGTTCTAAATCCGGTAAAATTGAAAGAGATACAGAGTGCTTTTGCGACAGTAACATTGTTACGAAAATACACACGGTGAAGAACCGAGGAGAATATTTTCGTACGTCTCTCTCTCTCTCTCTCTCTCTCTCTCTCTCTCTCTCTCTCTCTCTCGTTCTCTTTCGTCGATTCTATTTGAATAGCCATTGTTTTAAAAGGTACGAACACACTTGAATTATTGATTAACGTACGCGCCGTGAGAAGTGAAAAGAAACGGTTACACACACATTTACATACATACGGCGGACAGTTGGAATAATTGATCGACGACAATCGTTACCTCGGTTCCGTCGAGCGAGTTTGTTTGTTGGAGGATGTGACTTTAGGATGCAACGATTGCATGAGACGAATATTCTTTGTGCTTCTCTGTGCTTTCTTACATGTTAGAACGTTTCGATTATTAGAGTAGCGCTAGAATCTCTAAGAGATATTGCGGCTGCTTTCTCAGAGTAAAAAATGATACAAGTGGAACGTTTATTTGACGAAGAGCTAACGATACAGATAGCGGCGCTGAGGAGAAATTCAAATTCCGCACTCCCCCGACGTTCACCAGTCACGTATTGGCACTTGTTTGCAAGAAGATGCGAATCACGTATCACGCAAACCTCGAAGAATTTTTTCCGCGGTAATTCACGCATGTACAATAATCGGATCGCTTGGTCGTGCTAATTCACCGAAGAACACCATTGCCTTAACCGAAGAAGGAGGGATCGAAGTATCCTCTGTGCGAAGTATTCGGCATGCCTTTCTCTTCATTGTGCGCGAACACGCTAATTTCATCGTAGCTCTGAACTTTGAGTTCTTCCATTTCTTTTTTTCCTCCTCCCCCCAGTATACAATTGTCGATGGTAAATGTAGTGTAGTGCGGAAAGATACGCGATGTGTTGCGCGCGGTTATGCAGCGTTCATGCAAGTTCGAAACGAAACTTTCGTAGCACGTCATGAAAAGCACCTGTGACCTAAATGCGTCCTGACATTATTAATACAGAATTTAATAACACATTTATCGGGGCCCGCTCGATAATTTTGATCATTATACCATGCTGGAAAAGCGGCAATTGGTGTAATCGCAGTTCGAAACGCTCGAGGTCGAAATGCCGCTGGTGCTCCGCGCGTTTTTCGATGAGGTGGCAAAAAGAAAAAAAAAAAGAAAGAAACCTACAACAACAATGCCCGTCGACTTCTCATCGCGGTTATCTCGCTCTTCGCGTTCCCGTTAATATCAGGACGCGCATGTCAGCCGAAAAGAAAGAAAAGAGAGATGAAGTGAAAGAATAGAAATTCAAAAACTCGAAACTCTTCGTATACCTGCGACTTTTATACCGGGCGTCTCTCTTAATTTTCTATTATTTTTTTATTTTTGCCTTTGTTGTAGTGGTTGTTTGTGTTTGTTATTTTGCAGAACCATTTATCAGTGCCTGTTAACTCTAGGTTTCTTCACACGTGTAAGGTTAGTAGTCACACCAGTTTCTCGCTCTCACGACGTAATAACGGTACGCTTGTGTTGTTGCTGCCTTTAACGCCGCGACGGCCGTTAACGCCGCGGCGTTTTTACTGTTTTGCTTGTTATATATAGTGTACCGAGCTTGCAGATAAAGTCGAAATACAATCAATAGTGAAAACGTGTATGTATGCTAACCGCCGTAGCGTATGTATATACGTATATATATATATAATATATATATTTATTTATATATTTATATATTTATATATCGGCAAGCCGTATATATGGTTCGCCGCGACGTTACTCGCGGACTTGAAAACGCGAAGCAGAAAAATAAAGCTGTTCCGCGTCGGGAAGCGAAACTATTGTGCAATGGTTGTTTTCTCGTAATTGTAATGATTACGTCGTAACATATGAAATCAGGCGCTGCGCAGTAATACGCTGCGCTCTGTCCCGCCGATTGAAGATCTGGAAGCCGTAGAAAAGTGGATGATCTTTTCCGAAAAGCTTCGACCAATTTGACTTTGAGTCCTTTTCAGCGATTTTACAAAATTCTTTTTTCTTTCAATTCTTCACAACGTTACCCTCTCCGATCGCCGGAAGCGCGACTCGTAAGTGCGGAGCGCGCGCGCCTTCGCGATTGAGCTTTAAACGCTCGCTCCACATTCGTCGACGGAGCGATTCAGCCGGGTCGGTCGGTCGTCGTGGCGAACCGTTTCCGCGCGAGTCCGATGCTGTAATCAACGTAGAGAATCGATTCGCGCGAGAGCCTGCCTCACGACTAGCGTCTGTCGAGTTTAGTCTCACGCGAAAACGCGTTAAAGAGGAAAACGGAAGGATGAAGGAGTGAAAAGAATATTAAGAAGACGGAGAGAAAGAAAAGCGAATGTAGCGACGACGGAGTTGATGATCGATCGTTAATAGCGATGGGTATGAAGCAGGGTGTGGCACTGGAAAACAGCACAAGTACTTCGCAACAGGATCTTCAGAGCTATCCGCAGCAACCGGCGCCGACGGCGACGTCTCACAGCCCGACCGGCCACTACATCTATCAACAACCGCACAGTCCTGTGCCGCCGCAAAGTCCAGTTAGTATCCACACAGCCACACATACACACAAACACAGAGGTATATTCGGCCGGAACGATTGGACCCGCGAAATTTCTCTCGCACACGGAGAAAAAGATTCCTTCAGATTCAGCACTTCTATTTACTTGACTAAAATTTATTTCATAGAAACAAACACGTACGAAACATTATGTTTCGAGTAAAAATGTTATCGTCACATTGAAGAAAACTCGATTATTTAACAGAAAGAACGCTATTATTTGAAATAATACCTTTTAACCGAATAAAATGTGCAAAATGAAACAAATAATTTCTCTATAAGAAAATTATCTTTCGTTTCAAATAGATTTTTTACTTAAAATAAAGATGCATATTCGTTAGAAAGTCTAACAATCGTGATTATTAATCGAAACATTAGTTTCTCTTTGGAGCCATGGCAATGATGAGATTTGTTTGGATGCGATAGGATTGATTAAATCTGAAGAAATCTTCTCAGTGCATCCGCGAAATGCTTAAAAGCGCGCACGGCCGCACAGTGTCGCTGATAGTATTGAAACGCGAGTAGCCGAGAATCGCGTGTCTCTCTGAGTACAGCCGGAGTACTCGGTGTTTCCTCGCGACCAGGCTGGACCGGCCGACGAAATTCGCGTCCACGTGTCACCACCTGTCTCTCTCGCTCGTTGACCGAGATAATCTATCGATTCTAATCGAAACAAACTCTTGCTCGGTGCGATGGTCTGTTAAATATATATATCGTGGTTGAATATTACCGCGCGGTGAGTCCTCCAGATTGTTGTCAGTGACTCTATTGTTCTACACGTGTCTCCTATCGATGCCTGTTGTGCAGAAAACGTCGCAGTCGCAGCAACAGCAGCAGCAGCAACATCAGCAGCATCAACAGTCGTCGCAGCAGCTGAACTCGTTGGGATCGTACAGATCCACGCAGTCGGTGAACAGGCCGTCGCCGCAGTCGTCACCTAGTCTAACAGTACAAGTGAGACCATCTCTCGTGTCGTAAAATATTAACACGTAACACTTGATCGGATCACTCGAAAAGTTCGGTTCGATTTTCAAGATCATTCCGGCAACAGCAGTGGACCGCAAAAATCGGCCACCTTCCACGATAGAAGATGCACCGAATACCGTCGAAACATTGGCGGAAAACCGTAGACGATGTTTACTCGGTTGATGAATAATTTGCTTCCATCGATTGCAACGAAGTCAAATCCGACCGAACTTTTGAACTTTCCTAGGGTCTCGTCTGTGACCCTATTTCGAGACTTACACTCAGAGAAATGACTTGGTAATAACGGCTAAATCTCATCAGCTAATTTCAATTTTGCTGTCATCGCTGAAAGTTAGCTGTTAATGACAAAATGCATTTGTTGCGAAGTATATCTTTAGCTGAATATATTTGCACGAGTAGCTAAGATCGGTTAGCTGTACTGAGTAAACCATATATAGATTTCCCGTATATAACGTATAACGTTTGTATTAATTAACGAAGTGATGTAGTAAGTGATTAACGAGATGAAATTCGGGTTCGAGTCCATCGGTGCTTAAGTGTATTTTTAAATACGGGTATAGCATTGAATGCAGTAAGTGGCTGAATTTCAGATAAAATTAGCATACTAACATTTTAACTCTAGAATACTACACTTGTACTATACTTATGCTGTTGTTGAAATGCCCGTCGTGTCTACATAGTGAAAAGATAGGGGTTTCGTAATTGAAGAGAGAAAAAAAACGGTCGGTTTTCCCTCTACTTACTAGCTGCTTCTTTCGTGTATATTTTCCAGCGGCTGATTCTTTCTCTGAGTGCATCGCTTAAACATCCCCTTCCGGGGCCAATATCAGAAAAGCCAATATCAGAGCGCGGCAGTTCGCGAGATTTCGCGGTGAACTTTCCCGAGTAGTAGTGTAGCAGTCGTGTTAAGGTAGGTCAGTTGACGGTGGTGATGCGGATGACGGAGCGTTGTTGGGACAATTCGGCCGTCTCAGCGCGTCTTGGATCATCCGAGAGGAGGCACTCACCGCGAAAGCTCGCGAATTTTAGCTACGATTGATACACACGTCAGCTGTCATTTGTCCGCGCAAGAAGGAGCCTCGTTCTCGCGCCGATTGTTCCTCGCGCTACGCGAATACGAATACGGGAAGTAACGCTGCTGCGGCTTCCCTGTTTCAGGGGAGCCCTTTGAGTTACAGCAATAACCCATCGGCGCCACCTAGTCCCACGGGGCATCCGGGTCCACCCAATTTAACATCCGACGCGATCGATCAGAACACTTACTTCATCAATCAGGCGCAAGCGGCGGCCCTTCAGCAGGACTTCGAGCAGTTCACAATGGTAGGCGAATTCATTCATTTTTAAGCATGCGCTATAAAGGGAATGACTTTATATATATATATATGTGTGTATATATATATATATAACACTCGAGTTCGCGCGAAAAAGAGCGGACTAATTTCCGTGCGAGCGTGTTCTTGTATTTTTGTGCGCGGATCTCCCTCAATTGAAATCAGTTTATATAGAACGACGACGAGAGACGATCGGGCCATTGAAAGTTTCACGGCGTCCGAAGTATATTAAGACCGAGCTTATTCGGGGGGAGAGGTAGCGTTTGCATTTACATCACGATCGAGTGAAAAAGCCCGCGCGAAAATGCGGAAAAAGCGGTCGCTCGAAGTTCCACCGGTGGCGTCCGCGGGAAAGGGAAGAAAAAAAGAGAGAAAGAAAACACACGGAAAGCGAGAACTCGATTTCTTCTCTCCCGGGCGCGATCCAGTCGCTGGTGCTGCTGCCGGTGCTGTGGGTTTCGCGAATTCCGCGTCCGAGAGATATTCGCCCCCTTCGATCTATTATACACGCCGCTGGCAGCGGTCCAGCGATGCGCTCTCGACATTCTTACCTTACCTCTGTCGCCGGGCAGTCTTGCCGCCTCGGGGAAGAGGAAGAAGCCCCCCCCTCGATCGTTTTCATCCTCTCTCCTCGGGGCTCGTTTCGCTTCGCGAGAACAATCGAACAGCAGTCGCGGAGAGGCGCAGCCCGAGTCTTTCTCGTGTGCTGACCGCTAGACTTCGCCGATACCTTCGCCTTTATTCCGTAATTTTTAAACGTGTACCATTAGTTCCGGTTTACAATAGGTGCTTTAAGCTCTAAGCCTGAAGAAATTGAGCAATCGCAGTCGAATATGAGGATAACAATCGACCGTGAGCCACAGTCAATTTCTTAAGGCTTAGAGCTTGAAATATTCATTGTAGACCCCGCATTGCAGGCATAACGGAAGCGTTGGAAATCTCTGCGTGGACAAAATGCATCGCAAAATAGCTGCGATTAGTGATTGACATTACAACGATATTTTCGTTAGAAGTGTTACGGAATAAGGGAGGAGGGCTGGCCTCTCCGGGTCGGCGACGGATGTGTGTACTCTCGCGCGCGGTGCTCGATACACGGCGGAGACGCACGCACGCACGTGCTGCACGTTTTACACGGCACATACTCCGCCGCGTAATTGCATTCGGGCTTCCGCAGCGAGAGAAAGAGGGTAGAGAGCGAGTGCGCGTTCCGCATGCCACCGCTGCGTTATGTTGCGCGCTCGTAACAGATACACGCGCGCGCCCACACTCTCGCCGTCTTCGACGCGTCGAAGCCGCTCGAAGGCGGCTGATATTTCTCGCGCGTAACAAATTGTTTTCGTTCTCCACCCGCCGAGACGTATCCGTGCACGTGCGCGACGCGACGATACGACACACACACACATACACATACGCACACACAGACGTGGGGAAATATAAATTCACCGGGTTCTCCCGATCTGAATTCTCTCTCGGGATGATCGAGCGATTCCGATTGTACAAACTGTGAGCGAATTATCCCTATCAATTATAATTAATGAAAAGATATCCGATCCTAATTGGCGCTCAATTTTTTTTATGCATGTCGAAGGGACTGGTAAGTATCCAATGCTGAACTGATACTTGTACTTGATAAGCGGCAGCAAGTAAGAGAAAGAGAAACGAAACAAATGCGAGACAGATGCAGACGATATTTTCACTCATCGCCGGTGCCGCGTGACGCAATTTTCGTGCGAAATATTTGACTTTTCCTCTCGTTTATTTATTTATTTATTTTTTTTTTCGTAATGCTACTCTCAGGGTTATCGTACGAGAGCCGAGATCGGTTTGGTGAATTTCAACACATATATAGTATGCGTTCCTGCCGGTCTGACCTTCGCAGTTATAATTAATGTTACGCGATGAATTATTCCGTGCGAATGATTCGTATGAATTATTCCGTCGGAGTCGTTTGGTATTCTACTCGGTTACATCGTCAAACGTCCCGTCCGTCCATTCGTTCGTTCGTTCGTTTGTTCGTTCGTTCGTTTGTTCGTTCGTTCGTTCGTTTGTTCGTTCGTTCGTTCGTTCGTTCGTTCGTCAAAAGCATCAAATTGCGATTCCCGATATTTCTCGGTTGATAACGGTACGCTTTCGAATGCGAAATTACAATCGTAATTAGCTCTCGTGTACTCGCGCCGCAAGTACGCCGAGTTTAGTAACGGAAGCGTTTTGTTAGTCGGCGACTCGGAACTCTCTCTCTCTCTCTCTTATTGAGAAGAGAGAGGTGGGGGGGGAGGCTAATGCGTTTGTCAAACACAAAACTATGTAGCTTCCTGACTTGTGTCTTAAGTCTTGCTGTTTATCTGTTGCCTGCATTCGTCAGGAGTGGCCCAAATTCGCGCAGCAGCTGATGGAACTTGGTTGCACCTGGACCACGCAGATAGAGGTGAAAAATATCGCCATTAGTTGAAACACCTTTTTTTTTTTCATTTGCAACCATTTCGGTATTTTGAGAGTGAGGTAAAAGTACCAATGCCTGAATCACGTATCAATGTCTGGACAATCGTGTTGTTTTGATTTCTAAATATAAATGTTGAAACTTTCAATGTAAAAAATACGTATATTATTCTACGCCGAAAGTTTCAACATTTACATTTAAATGCCAAGACAAGGAGAATGTCCAGAGTTAGGTATTAACGCGTCTGGCCGTTGATTACTTTTACCTTAACTCCCGATATTACGTTACGTTGTTGTGTACCCCCTCTGTTTCTCTCCTTCTTTTTTTTATCTTAAGCGTAAGGCTTGCAGCGAGGAGCGATTCTCCAAATGTCACTGAACGAACAGGCATGCGCGCGCGGGTACGCGGCTTAGAGGCAGGACATGAAGACGGTGTCGTACACACGCGATATTCGAAAGCATCTTATCTGTACTATCCGTGCTAAACGGAAGAATCTACCGTACGAGTCACGCTACACTTGTTTCGGCGAAACTGAAAAATCGGCATCGGTAAGGGGTAAAACTCGCCGCCGATCCAACAGAATGTTCTTTTCGCAATTCCGCTCTCGTAACCGAGAGGTTGGGGGGGGGGGGGCGTTGCATATGCACGCGCCGAAATGTATTCCCGTGCGTGAAGCCCGCCTCGCAGCCGAGGGAAAAATATATATCAGATCAGACGTGAAATATTTGCAGATCAAGGGAAAATATTACCTACAGCGCTGAGGTATCATATATCTACCGCGTGTGCCGCGCCGTGATGTTTAATACATAAGCCGCATCAAAGGGAAATTTTAAATGTCTCGGCTTGGCTCGATGTCGTTAGAACGCGCGAGTGAGAAAGTGCGTAGTCGTTCCGCGACTTTCGTTGCGGAAAAACGTTCACGAGTGGAGAGTGATAGAAAGAGAGAGGGAAAGAGTGTGTGTGTGTGTGTGAGAGAGAGAGGGAGAGAGAAGGAGAGAGAGAAAGGAACGCGCATGGTGGCCGGTGGTAATAATCGCAATTCGCGCGCGGCATACCTCTGATTGATAACCCGCAAGCTCCCGGAAACACGCTCGTTATTACGTATGCACATACGAAAGTTAACATCGTGCGTGCTGCGCGCTTCAGAAGGAGCCTAGCTTTATATCGCAGGGCCTTAACGATACCCTCTTTTTACTCCCTCCTGCAGTTACACGCACAAGTGGCCGTTACCGTGGCGGTTTGATATTGCACGGACGGCTAGCGCGCCATTGGCTTAATGGACGAATAGAAAAGACGATATATTTTACGGGATAAAAAGCGCTTGCTTTCCGACGGCCGACTCGGCCGCGTGAACTCTCTCCGTTCGAAATCGCTCCTTACTATCGCTGATACTGAGAATCGAGAAGAGAATTCGAAAGTATTTCTCCTCGCCTTTTTTTCCCCTTTTTTTTTTTGGAGAAGAAATCTGGGCGAAATTTGGCACGAACACGCCCACCTTCGGTCCGGAAACCTGATCGGGACGGGACAAATTCGGTCAAGCAGGAAATTTGCACGCGCGAAATAGCGAATATGTACCAGGTGTGTAAATTAATTCAGTGCTTTCGTCGTCAAAAATCAGGATTTATTTGTATAGTGAATGGTGTGCAATTTTAACTATCGAAATGATTTCCGTTATTATCGATAGTATCGGACATCATTTATCGGGCAGCTGTCGAGGAACTTGACGGTTTTGAATTACTAAAGTCATCGATTTCGAGCAACCTTTATTATTTAAAAATATGTTAGTTAAATAGTGTTACGACGAGCGAAACAGGTGACAGTCTGAAGGAACAACATACGGAGAATAAACTGGATGCTGTGCATAAAAGTAGCAATATTTCTTTTCGACGATGTTATAAAAATAGCAATATTTCTTTTCGGCGAGTTTCGCAACGCACTTTGTATCCGACAGAAAAATATACTTTCTGAGAATTACTAAGAAACGAATTCTCTTGCTGGACACCGAAAGCGTTGCGAAACTCATCGAAAAAAGTGTTGCAACTTTTATCATGCCGACTGTGCAACTTTTCCGTCCATATTAAAAATGACGTTGTCGCGAAGCAAACCATTTTCTACAAGTTGTATGACTCACTGTACTTTCGGCAAGATGATAGTGGCTTCAGCAGTATTTTTTTTTTACGAGTCGAAACGTGAGAAGAACGCACAGCGTCGAGTGTGCGCCTTATCGAAAGCAATACTCTTCGCTATTATTTTCCGATTTGATATATTGATTTCATTCTGCGATGTTCGCGCGGTGTTTTTTGCAAACCCAGATGGCAGCCCTTTAAAACCACGATTGAGCGGAAAAGCATTTCGATTCAGAACGCTCGCTACAGATGGCGCAGAACTATAAAGGCACCGAATTAATTTCGCATACCGAATGAAGCGGGAGATAAGCTTCCTCGCGTGATTCTGACGAGGCCAGAAGCGAGAAGGGGATTTCCTCGAACAAAGGTTATTAGGGGACGAACGAATCTCCGGAAATCGAAGCGCAACTAAAGCCGTAATAGATTTCGAATCGGGGAAGATGACGGGAGGGGGCGGGCGATCTTCGCGGCGCGGTGTAACGAGCGAACCGAGTGTGTGTTTACGGCTCGATCGTACTTACTTCTCTCCCTTTATACTCCTCTTTATACCCTTTATACTCCCTTTATACTCCTCTTCCGCTATTTCCCCTCCCGCGCACGGCCCGTGTGTGCCCCTCGCGGATCGTTCTATAAAAAGCATTTGGGGTGGGAGACGCGCGTTATACGCGAGATGAATCAACGTCGCGCACTTAAAGATGAATCAGATTAGACCGCAAGCAGCCTTAATCTCTCTCGCGTAGCTTTTTAATTAGTACGACCGCGTCTCTCATCTGCATCTCCCTTTCTCTTTTTCTACTTCAGATGGACACGCCGGTGCAGGCGAACACGATCGGGACGTACATCGGATCACCGAACCACACCGCGAATTTCACGCAGGTAAGAACTTATTAAACACATAAATCTCTCTCTCTCTCTCTCTATATATATATGTATATCTATCTCTATCTCGGCAGAATAATACATCAAGCGAAAATGGAAATTGCAGAGAGAGCCCGCCGTCGTCCGAACGGCGAGCGAGCGCGCGCTGTAGCGGAGTAGATCGAGAAGTTTGCAATTTTCATTATTGCGCCGGTGACCGTAAAACCATTATTTTTATCCCCTGTTCATCGAATTCCTTTGCCTCTGCCTCAGAACGACGTGATTAACGTTGGCGGCGAATTAGGCAGCGCGGATACCGGCTACTTCAGCACGAGTCCGCAAATGGCGTATCAACCGGCGACGACGACCACCACGGCTACCCAGCAGCTAACACCGCAAACGCCAAACACACCTACGATCATTCTCACAGGTAGGGAGATCAGCAGACACGTGCGGATTGCACGAGCGATGATTTCTCTAATTGCGTTTCGTGACGAGAAACCGACGACGCTAAGTATACTCGAGGTTCGCACGCCTTCCTTCCGTCCGCCTTCGAGCGGGATTTAAGAGCAGGTTTAATCTCTATTTCTATTCAATTACTTTGTCCTCGCGATAGATATATGTTTTTTTACGAGATTATGCAGTTATTTAATACGCCGTCGTGAGAAACATAGCACCGTCATCGAGAGAAACGCGCAGTATGTTTCCATCACGATGATGATGGGCATTATATGCTAATCCCGATCGTTCTATTGCAGACTTCTCTGGTGCGGACGATCTGACGAATCCGGAATTCGTCAAAGACCTCGGCACAGCGATGATGGGCGACTTCGACCCGGAGATGTTTCCGTCTGACGACGCCCTCAGGCAGGGCCTCGATCCGATCGACGTGGACGGTTTACAAATGCTCGCGGACCCTACGATGGTCATATCGGATTCCAGCGCCGAGGCCCACTTTAGGTTAGATCGCCTCTAAGGGAAGAGATTTTACTCATTTTACCGACCGACCGACAGACCCGCTGGCTAAACGCGTAGGATAAGATAAATTCTGTTCTGGTGTCGTCGCGAATTAATTCTTAAGACACCTTTGACACATGGGGTACCACTTCTTGGACACTGGCGGATTTGCAGGGCGAAAATGCGAGTCAATATGTATACTTATACATCGCAGTGTATATTTATACATATTTAGAGAAATATATATACATACATATATATAAATTTATGTACGCGCAGGATGAAGTATTCGAAATTGCCATCTAAAGTAGTTAACAAGTGTCGATTTTATGGGAAAATTTCTCAGACAAAAGTTTAATGATTTTTGGAGGGGGGCTGCGTTCTTGTCGTCTAATTTTTTTCTACGCGGAGGCGCCATAGTCACGCACAATTTCATTTTTTTAACGGGATCATTCATAGTTTTTTTAACACAAATCGATTCCTCTGTTCATTCCGCATATAAAAGTACCAGGGTAAGATCATCGGAAAGTGAATACTTTTCGAGATATTTTCCTTTTTTCTTCGGATATTTTTCAAGATAGAGAATAACTCATAAACTCATTCATTTTTCGATAACACCACTTTAACATTTTTGTACGTAGAATGACAGGTAAAATCGATCGCTGTAAGTAAGCAAACATAGAGAAACCTTGAAAGAGAAATTCATTGCATTTTGCAAATGCATCGATGCATCAATGATAATATCAGTAATCCATTTCTCTCATATTATTATATAGAAATGTGATGTTATTCTCTACACAGTGGAAAATTAGATGATAAAAATGCAGCCTCTTCAAAATCATTTAATTTACGTCTAACCAATTTTTCTGCAAGATCGATGTTTATTAAGTTATTTTAAATAGCAATTTCAAATGCCTCGCTCTGTATATATACATATACCTTGTTTAATTTGATTTGCATCGCATGGATCATAGCGGGTTTACGAAACACTTTCGTAATAATTGTCTCGCGCTCGATATGCCGTGTAATGTCTCTTTTTTTCCTGTCCTTTCTCAATCTCAACTCGTGCATCGCAACTGGATTCATCGTATATAAAAGTCAGATGTAAATAGTATACTATGTGCAGCGGGTAACCTATGTAGATAGTATACTCCGCGTACGAAATCTCCTTCTGGAAACAAGTCAGTGGTCAACGATAGTTGTTTCCCGCTCGTGATAAAAAAAAAACCCGTTATAATTGACGATTAAGTTTTACGAATCTTTATTAACCCCCTTTTTTTTATTTTACACTACTTTGTACATTGTATCATTGTATGATCTCTAAGAAGCACAAAACGAAATGTTTACTGATTTATACATGCTTTTATCATATGCAATTATAGTAAGAGATTAATATCTACCGTTTAGGAATTTAATCGTTAGAGAAAACGATCGCGCGCTCCTCGACGAGAGGAGCGCTCAAAACGCATAAAGACATAGAAGTGAGAGAGGAGGGAGATGCCTATCGGCGGTACACGCCAGCAGCAATCTAGATCGTTATGTTTCCTTTTCCTCATTACCATCCTTGCGAGTGCAGCTTACGATCGAAAAAAAAAGAATTTTTGTGGAATACATCATAGGTAGGAAATTCGCTTTACCGTTCCGTTTTGCTCGCGACATCGCGGCCGAGTTTGGTTAAAACAGGATTGTATCATTGAACGAATTTAGACTCGGCTCTTTTGGTCCTCGTCAACAATCGGATATTCCGCGAAGCGTAAAATCCGGAGATTCAACGGCGGTCACTCGGCGCGAAAGGGAACGCCCCAGGGTTTTTTTTTTATCGAGAATAATCTATCTCTCCGCATTTTCGAGTGTGCAATCCTGGTGCCGGTCAGCCATTTCTACGTACGTCTAGATCGGGCACAGTTTCGTTTCGTCATCACGCGAGATACCTTCCCGACTTCGATATATTTATTCATTCTCCGCCGAAGAAAAGTTCGAATTCAATTGTTAATTCACTTGTTCTGATTTCGCGCTGGTACAGACGCGATGGTGATAACGTGCAGAAAAATAAGGTCTCATATGCGTGTACCCTCGGCGGTTGTCAATTGTTTTTTGAAAGTAATATATATTATACTTTATATATGCATTCGGTAATCGTGCGATCGAATGTGAAAATTAAGATAAATGGATAAACTATGAAATCAAGAGAACGACGCTTATATCTATACACATCGTAAGTGGAAGTTGCCATACCTTTCTCGATAACATTTTCGAATTCCTCGTTCTAGTTGAGAATCACGCGATATAGGCGACGATTAACGTTACGGAATCAGGCTACGACATATCGAGAAGCACGACCAATTCTACCGGGAATAATAAGTTTTTCTTGAAAGACGCGTCCGGCCAGCGTAAGGTGGCGTGATAAATTGCAACAAATTTCTACGCTTGGAATTCGAATCATAAATACCACGAGAAGACTCACGCAAAATTGCGAGAAGAGCGACACGAGCAGTTACGAAACTCGCCCGGCTCGCAATTTATCGCTCTCGCGATCAATTATTCGTGAAAACGTTTATATGTGGAATGTGTAGCCTGAATCCAACGGTGCAACAACTTCAGCACACAACACACACACACACACACACACACATTCTTTCATACGCTACATCTGATAGATCGAAATCGGGACAGACGTAAACGTGAAGTAGTATAAATTCGTTATCGCTCCGATATCATTCATATCTTAGAAATATAGATCATCCCGTGTCTGTGCAAAAGAGAGTCACACAAAAGTGTCGAGGAAGTTCCGGTAAGCGCGAAGTGTAGTAACGACAGGGCGAGCATTCTGAACCACCCACCTATGCTAAAGTGGCAAGAGGATCCCCGATCATCGTTCAACGCGCATTTATCGGTCGCTCGCCAAGTTCGCACTTCGCGGCTGCGGGAGCTCCTTCGCGCGTAACCGAAAGCTCGGCGGAGAGAGTACCTCGAGAACGGAGGAGAAAATTTAACAATAATCCTTACGTATTTAAAATATGATTAATGTTGACCAAGTTGATGATGACGAACCATCGATATATTCGACCGAGTTAACGTAGTAGAATGAAAAGAAGAAAAGAATTTCTCTTCCCCGTTTGCTCTCTTTTACTGGCAAAAGTCTCGTCTCGCGAGTATAATGCGCGCAAATGAAAAACGTGCAAAGAGGTGCCAAAAAGCGCGATAGAGATATATTCGTCGTAGATTTGTAAGATCGTGCTATCGAATCATTAATCGTGCAATATAAACATATATAATATGATCGTCGGTTGTTTAACATAGGTCGTTAAACCAAGTTAAATGTTAACCAAGATCGTGACGTCAATTTGTCATTTGTCACACTTTTAATCGTGAACGAGGGGCTCGCCAAGAAGGGGATAAAGAACACGGAATTTCTCAATTGGGATCTCTCTCTCTCTCTCTCTCGCGTGCGCGCGCACGAGAAGAGAGGACGGAGACTTTTCTCCTATTATTATTGTATCTCTCGCCGACACGTCGCGTCGAACGTGCATCGCTGTCTCTCGATTGACATTTCAGGGTAACCGAAACTCGCGCGATTAAAAAGATAATGTTGCGCAACCTTCGCGCGGAGGAATTGTCGAAACGGAGCAACACACCGACAGCCGCGCGTTGCATTAATCGCTAAGCCGTTTTAAGAGAATTTTGCATCGATTCGCGAGATTTTGATCAATATACATGTCACTATTTTTCCTTTCTCGTTTTATCGATACCATCGTCGCGAAAGTAAGAAACAGCGTAACGCGTTTTGAAACAGTTTCTCTCTCTCTCTCTCTCTCTCTCTCTCTCTCTCTCTCTCTCNCTCTCTCTCTCTCTTTCCGACCGCAAAAATAC